CTGCATTTCTATATTACCTGAAGCATCAGTCTGAGGTCACAATGAATGCAATAGACTTTAACCAAACTGATATAATGCTTGCATGAGGTTAAGACACGGAGAGAATCAATTTTATTTGAAATATTTTGCTGCATGCTTCATATTCATTGGAAAGATGAAATAATCAGTTTTCTGTTCCAAATCCACTAAGGAAGGGAATTATGGTCTTCACCCTGTCCACTTAAGTTCACGCTGCAAACTTTTGTCTTCATAATAATTACACACACAATTTATTATTGAACTGTTTGAAGGAGTGGTTGTGGGGAGTTATAAGTCATTTTCAGTGTCTTTTTAAACAGTACTCGTAAAATTCACATATAATTATTCACTCAATTTCCTACTTCTGCTACATATCGGTAATTGTAGTATTTCTAGTGGACGTAGCGAAGTGTAGAAAGACAATTTGCAGTACAAAACGATGTTCCTCAAAGTATTTGTCATCAATGATGACTTTTTCCACATATACTTGATTGTAATATGGAAAACAGGTCAGTTGATAGACTCTAACGGATGCATTCAGTACTGCGGAGCCTTGTCTGATGCATTTGAAATTTATGCATACTTATCTGACAATGTAGAAACTCAATCCATTTGTTAATAGACTGTCCTAAACATCTATATATTTTGCACCGGGAGCAGTAGACGTAAGTGTCAGAGGGAGCATGAGTTTTCCGGTGGCATCATTTACACCTTATTGATGGATAGTCCATGATAAGAAGACTGAAATTTTATTTCCTCTGAAGACTAGCTAACCTGTGTTATACTCTAGAAGATAATCAGCACATGACATTTAGTTATAGTTACATACCAATATATATTCACTAAATATGAAGTGTTGAGTAAATGGGACTACTCTTATACATGTGAAAGTGAAGAAACTGTTAAGGTTATATTCTACAAATTTCACATTATTTCCATCACACGAAAAATATTTTATCTATGGGTATATGACACTAGTTAAACAACAATAATTTACGAAAAGTGTTCACAAAGTGGGTTTTCATGATTAATTTTAATGGGAAACGATCTCTGTAAAACAAATGCCCATCACTGCATTGCATACACTCAGTTACTCTGTTCAAAATAGAAAGTGAGGATTATATTCGTCATACAAACAACAGATTCCATAATTACTAAGTGATTACTACTAATTTTTACCTCCTCATATTCAGCTTAAGGTGAATATTTCGTCTTCAATTTTCTCAGTGACTGCACAGAGTTTTGTGGAAAGCTAATTAAATTTATCCGTGACTTCATGTTGTTGTCATATGATACATGGTGAAGCGGTTACACCAGGGCATTATCTCAAAATTCATTCAGACAAAATCTCAGCTGTGGAATAACCCATGATTATGAATAGTACACTGTCGTATAAGAGCAAATTCAAATATTAGTAATGAAAACCAACTGAGAAGATAGGCAGATGGCAATAATTAAGTCAAACTGAGAAACGTAGATCAAAGGAAAAAAGACCATGATCACGAAATTGGATGAAATATTCAAGCAAGTAGTAAAATTGTTTTTCGGCAGAGATTCTGTGATCAGTTATTCTTCTTGAAAGATAATAGTGGATTCATGGTTTGTCAAGATGACCTAAAGCTGATATGTACTTAGCGTGGGACCCAACTATTCTTCTAGGAATAAGTGGTGTGACAGTTGGTGGTTTAATTAGCGATAAGAGGAACTTTATTAGATTATTGGATTCGTTTCGTTCTCAGTTTGCTTGGTGGCAATAGCATTCATATCATAGGCATAATATATTTTCTTATTATAGTGATCATTTTGCATTCTATGTGAAAAATGGTGCTTCGAGCTCTGAACACTGATGTGTCAGTAATGGTGATATTATTGTTTAAAACGAGAAAGGACCAATAGCCTCAAGGTAAACGTTCATTATTTCAAGTGTTTACAGTCAGCCGAATAAGGTTTAGAATATTATAACTCTGTGATTCGAGTGAAACGTAATGCTTCAATCTTTGAGTTGGTGTTATTCTTTTATACTCAGTGGGATCTCTATTTTCACGCTTCACCTTACTCCTTAAACATAGTTACAACCAATCAACAGACGTTTAGGGGTATGTATGTGGGGATGGAACTCTGAACCACGTCTGTGGTTGTCAAATATTCTACTGCTCGACCACTGACGCACTGTATAACCATTTAAATATATACATCAGCTTCAACTGGTATGATTTTCATAGATAATATCAACATTTTAGGTGAATGCATATACATCCCTTTCACAATTTCTGAATTATTATTTATACATCTTCCTGAAGATAGTAAACACGTGTAATTCAGTGTTAGTGAAATGTAAGATGTCATTCGCTTCCATAATTGTTGCTATTTATAGCGTAAACTGATTATTCTCATATATGTAATTCTGAACAAAAATGGAACGTACACTGTTTCTTAAAGGCATCACACGAGATATCAGCTAACGTTTAGTTACACTGCCAGAAAGATTTCAGACAATTATCCAAATTAACTTGAGTCAATGAGAGTACATAATGTTTATGTCTCTGGCACACAGAATCTCCTGATCTGATGATTGATGACCCTTTCCAAATTTACTGAAAAAAAACAACTAATGCATCATGTGATTCGCCATTTTATTCATTCCACCTATTTGAATGGTGGAATGGAAAAGAAAAATATTTTCAACACTCCTTTCACTACTATTTTTATTATTATTACTATAATTATTATTATAACAAACTATTCTCAGTCACGTTTGCTTTTGAGCAAATCGTTTGTCGGTGTGCATGTATGCATGTGTAACTTCTGAGCATTTATGCTAATAAAGAATATTTTTTAAAAATATTTTCACTGACAGTAGATGAACTGATTCAATCGTCAGTACACGAATGGGTTCTCGATGATCTGAGAATGATGAACCAATTCAAGTATGAGTGTGGACGGAAGATACGTTACATAGCATCAATGAGGAAACCAGTTTTGTAGAACATCAGAACTCTGACGTTGATTTTCAAGGAAATGTGTACAACAGTTTTAGGAAGAAAAGAGAGTAAAGACAAGTAATGGATCTCAACGGACACCTACCTTGAAGCTAGTTGAGGAGAGGAGGATGGTGAAACATAAGATTAGTCATAACAGAAATTGACTACAGAAGGTAACGCTGAGTTCCATGCACACCAATAATGAATGACGAAGTGAAGAAGAGTGACAGGGGAGCCAAAATGCAATTCTACGACACAGTGGTATTTGTAGAAGAATAGGATGCAGGTAAATGAGACCTCAGGACATTATATCAGACAACAAAGTCTCTATCCAGAAAGTGATTAACACAGAAGAAGCAAATAACATATGATCATAGGAACCTAATATTTCTGATACAAGTATGGAAATTCCAGGATGTGAAATCGGTAGCCCAAATTTCGCAGGCCGACCACTGATATCTGGTGTTCGTCGGCCGAGGATCGAACCCTGGACAATGTGCATGGTCGGCGAGCGTCCTAACCGCTGTGCCACCGACTAACATTAACTGAAGAATGATCACATAAGATTTGTTGTAAAGCGGAATCTATTGGAACCATGAGACAATTTTGTTCACCAAAGTAATAAGTTTTTGGGGTTGATTTGTAGCAAAGTTACTCCTTGGACATTTCTGATGGTTTGTGGATCTTAAGGATTTCATCGGAATGTAATCATTTTATCTGGTTTAAATATGAATTTGATCTTGAATCAATGTTCATTTAATCTGCTAGTGTTGTCATTTCTTTATTCGCCTTAAACAGTTTCTTCGATTGTCTCATCTCTTCCTATTTTGAACTGACTTATCCAAATTCAGAGTTTGTCAGATGATGCTTCATTTATCTATTAGTCCTGTCAGTTTTACACCTCCTTCTAAGATTTATTCTTCTCATGAATGATTTCGTATATTTCATAACCTGTTTTACTGTTTAAAATTACCTCCAATGTATCAAAGTTGAGAATATTTGAACTCATTTATTTCTCCATGATCAAAATATAATCAGTTCAAGATGTCTGTTTAATAATAAATTAATATACGAATAGTACAATCTAGAGTAGTGGAGTACTGTGTTACTACATTTTTGGAAAACACTTACATTTTGTCAAAAATTCTGTGGACTTTGAGTTTTAAAATCACATTCACATCACCATTTCTACTGTTATTTTTCATATAAATAAACAGTGAATAATGAACTAGGCGGCTATCTGATCTGAATTATTTCACAGTAATTTTTTCTTTTGAAGTATGGTATGTATTGATTGTTACACTGAACCATGGACTAACTGCGTTTTTTCACCACGTTTAGAATGCACAGATTAACACGTTGGTCACTGGATTGATGTTAGTTGTTCCAATAAGTTAGGCAATGAGTCCTGCAGTGTAGGCATTGTTTAAATGTTTGTGAACGCATTACTTCATCGTTCAATATCGAATATCAGTGGAGTTGCAGATACAAAGATATCGTTTTATATGTGATTACAAGGAAGTGAGAATTCTTTTCCAAACTATGCGTAAACAGTTAGCGTGTTGAAACATCAGAAATCAGTTGGATTCAGTCAAAAAATCTGTCAGTTCCATTGAGTAAAATTGATCGACGCCTATTGAATGAGTTATATTCAAAATAAATTGACGCTAAAAGCATACGGGTATTTCTTCAAATAGCTTAAATCATATATACTCACTTTCTCACCTGGTAATAATAAAATTTTCCAGATGCTGGGCTACGGGTCCTACGTGCTCTTTGAGAGCCAATGATATTGCAGACCGAATTTGGTGGGCTGAAATAAAATCTCAACAGCCACTGGCCGATTGTCGAGTGCTTAGCCATTCCTATTTTATATCACATACAAATCATACTATTTATATCAGATTATTCAAATACTTTCGAATTATTCTGAACACTGAATGAGAGTAAATCACCCTATATTATATTTATATTTCAAATCAGGTTCATCTTTCTTTCAGGATGGTACTAACTGACAACGGCTCAAACAAATCATCTTTCCGTAAATCTGAGGAGAATTTATCTGCAACAAATGAAGAGTCATTTGTGATAAACTGTGATCGGAAAATACAGAAAAATTTCGTCGACATTTCGAAATATGACAAACGTGTAGGTCGTCTCATGTCATTGTTGGCTGATTGTGTAACCCTCATAGGTGATTGTGTTCTCTATCATACTCATTATAATTGCAATAATCATCGTTATAGCCCCACACTTCTTGTAAGTATTCATCATTCTCTTGTGTATGTTAGATTAAAGTGGGTCGTACTACTTGAATCCGGTTGTTCACTTTATAATGACTATGATATTTTGGTAAGTTTAATTCAACTTCAGTATTCTGTTCATTGTGGATGCATTTTTCATTTGTAAAAAATTGTTTATTCATACTAGTCATTGTTACTATTTAGTTAAAAGGGCAATAATATTACCTCAAATTAACAATGAAGCTACCTTATATTCTTGTGTATTTCGAGTGATTATTTCCGTAGGAGAATTGCTGACAGCTACAGAGATGCGTAACAACATCAGGTTCCGTCTGCGGTTTCAGATAATAAATAACTGATTTCATGCCTCATTATTCGGTTGAATGTGTTGCATTTAATATCAATACTAATACTTATTAAACTTGAACCCTCCCTTAAAAGCTTTGAAGACCCCAAACAATTTGCCTATAGACAGGGTAGGAGCACTTTAGACGCTGCAGCCGTCTTACACAACAACATCCTCTCATCATTACATAAAGGTGCCAAATACGTCCGCTGCACGTTTCTCGACTTCACTTCGGCTTTCGACTCTGTACCTAGATGTCTCCTGCTAAATAAGCTCTCTTTGACAAAAACTGCATTCCTACTTCTCTAACAGAAAGCAGTACACCGTATACAAAGGCAAATCATCCTCTGCTGTACTCACTGAAGCCGGTGTCCCCCAAGGTGCTGTACTCTCCCCACTTCTCTTTTCTTTCTTTCTACATGACTTACCATCTTCAAATGATATTAATTTTGTCAAATATTCTGACGACCTGACAGTATCTTTGCCTGTCAAATGTCAAAGCGACTGTTCTAAACTTAATGGCTTTCTGTCAGAAATCAGCCAGTGGTCCAAGGAAAACGGTCTTACCCTAAACCCCTTCAAATGCCAAACAGTCAATTTCACCTTTAGGCATAAATCCGACCTAAACAAACTGGTTGGCTCTCACGAGGTATGCAACATAGACGGCACTGAAATAGAAACCAAATCGGAAATTAAATACCTAGGTGTCATTCTATCTGCTGATCTCTCCTGGTCGTCTCATATCTTAGCAATTTCTAAGAAAATATTCCGTCTTACCTTCTACATTAAGAAGGTAAAACATTCTGGTATTACCCAACCCTTACTCCTTCAATTCGTTAACTCTCGCATTCTGCCTATTATTCTCTATTGTTCCTCCTTAGTTTTTCCAGGGCTACTGAAGAAAGACTATACCTTATTACGCAGGATGTTAAAGGTTGTCAGCAGGGTAAGCAACGTGCCACTTAACCAGGTTGTTAATACTCTGGTTGACAGGCACATGGACTCATGTGAAAAATGGGCCAAATCCATTTTATCTAACTCACACCACCCTCTTCACTCACAACTCTCCCCTTGCATCTCATCAGGCAAAACCAGAAGCCTATATAGAAAACTAAATGCTCGCACTAGCAAGTACAAAAACTCAACCATACCCTACTTAGCTCGTGTTATGTGTGATAAAGAAAGCATTAGGAGTGACACCTATAATTCATTAAATAGTCAGTAGTACAACTGGATCTCGTCTTTCCAACTCATATCATTTATAGGTACAACATTTTCTTTCTTTCTTTTCCTTTTCTGTCTCTCTCTTTTTTCCGTTATGTGCTGCTTTGTTTCTTTCTTCCGCTTACGCCAGTAAATATGATAGCACCTACTTTTCTAACACCTTCAAACACTGTTCAACTTTGGCTTTGCTACCGACATGCCAATATGTTGTTGTCACAATAAACTGAGATTTCCTTAATCTATGTAGAATTCTATTTATTGATAATGTACTAACTGGATGCAATACTGTAGTAAAAATGCTGAGAATTCCATTCTGTATCACATGTACTGTTTTGGAATAAAGCAAATTATTATTATCAATCGAAAATCTGTAGCAGCCTCAGTAAAACGTTCTGATGTCTAGGCTTGGAAGGAGTTTGTTCAAAAAACTGTTACCTGAGAAGCACTACAGAGCTGTAAAATACCGAGTGCAGTTTAATTCTTCACCAAGTAATGTTGTTCTGAAATCAAACCGTTCTAAAACACTCTGCTACAGAGGAGGAGATAATTATAGTTTATTCGAAGTGTGGGAAATAAATAAGCATACTAGGGAAATATGTTTAGCCAAGTAGCATGTGGACAAGTAGATAGTGAAAGGCTGGAAATGAAACTTTTGATTTTCAAAATATCAATAAAGTTTCATTAAAAAATTATTGTTTCACTTCACAAACTTTTATTTCTATTCAGCGTGTTAGCCATAGCCAGTGGATATCTTATCGTAATTTCTACATATTTCAGAGAAAAACTGATTACTGCTTTAATTACTCTTCTCATTTATGTGAGTCAATCGGTATTTTCGATACATAACTTCTTTGTGTTTATTCCCTTAAGCAAATGTAAACGATACTCAGTTACTAATAAAATGAGACGTTTGATGGGCACCATTCATGAGACTGAAATTGTAAGTTCAAATCTGTCAGAGTCTAACATCTTTCACAACAATTAATATGCAATTTATGCAGATAAAATTTATAGAAGGACTACAATGAATCTGTTTGACCGGGGATTTCTCAGATACTGAAGAACTGAACTAGTGTTTGACATGCAGTGTTCTTTGATAGACATACTGGATAGTATTGTGAGATGTGTTTTGAAAGTGTATGGATCTTACTGCCAGGAAGTATCTGGGTGTAAGGGGTAAATAGTTTTGCAAACACTTATTAAGGTGCATCAGAGTCAGAGGGGAAATTTTATTTCGACATATCCATTAAATGTCTTCTGACTGAAGAAGGTGATTCATAGGTCAGAATAAAATTGGTAAGTGAACGAAGATGATATTTCAAAGATGATTGATTAAAACCAGAAAGTTACTAAATACCCAGTAAAGTAGCAGGACTAGATAGAATGCCCAAAGAAGCACTCAAAACGGAAGCAGACGGCTCAGCAGGTATGTTCACTACACTACTGAAAAAAGTGTGGAAGATGTGGAAGGTGAAGAAGTTGCATCATCCTGATGGGACTAGAAAACCACTTTGTTTGGAACAGGACATTGGCTGACAGTTGCACCATATGTCGCAAACTGCCAGAGGTTTCAATTCATCGTCCATTGCATTTGACTCCAATGATGACAGCATCATATTTAATCAATTAGTGGTTACGTCCATCAAAATATAAGGTCCTACAACCATGTAGTAGGTAGCATCTGCAGACTATTAACGAAGTTACACTTTGAAGACATGAATGGCAAACGCCTTTAACAAATACACTTCAGGTGTTATTTAGCTGTTTTTTGAAGCGAATATGAAATCAAAATTTGCTATAAATAAATTGACTCTGTGTCTAATTTGTTTTCTTTTACTTTTCAACTCCAGGGAATATGTTGCTCTATTTGTCTGTCCATTTTCTTTACCAGTGCTACACTTGTGGATGTTATTCTGGGTTGGGTTGCAGCTGTTGTCATATGTGCATGTGGAGTATTTTTAGGGGCAATGATAAAGAAAGATTTGATTAAGAAATTCGACGCCTTCCTGTTAGTGTGTGTTGTGATTTTTGTTCTGACAGGCATTGCCATGGGAGTACTAATTGCTTTCAAAAAAGTCATGGTATGTTAACATATTGTCAGTTTATATATATCCTTTTATTGTAGGTTTAATCATGGATTTATAACAGTTAGCCAACCATTATAAACCACTAGGGAGTACTGGAGTACTAAATAATTAATTAATGAAATTTATGTTTACTATTTCTGGTGTAAATTCAATGTTACTGGGATTGTGGACTCGTTCTACAGCTACTTCAACACAACAATAATACACGTGCCTAAAGTGTTGTGACTGCGACTTCAGCACTGGAAAGCAATATGCTACCGATCAAACGGACTACCATTCCTCACAATGAGAAGAAACAGATGATTGACAGAGAAGACAAGATTTATTTTTCCATACAAATAAGAATAACATTAAGAATTACAGTCAAATATTTAGTCATTTTATATAAGCAATAAATTACTAGCTTAGGAAACAAAGTTAGACGTATTATTACAATTATTGGTTCCTTGAGATCCGAGTGAAACATATGACTTCACAAGCTCATCTCCTCTCCACTCAGTTCTCTGTTATCACTTTCAGCGGAATCCAGGACTATACATAAGCGATCATAATGGCTTCTCATGATCTTCTCCGGTTCACTGTCAGACCTATACCTAACTTGGTTTTTTAAATCATTCGGATAACATTGGACAGATTTTAGCAGAATACAATTTGAACGTCTCTTCAGCGAATATCCAATCCATCTGCGTATACGTCTGCATATTTTCAAGTTTTGGCTCGCAGGCATTTGATTGATCACAGGTTTCATCACAAGCTGACTTTGGTTTTAACAACAATGGAAACTTAGGGAGTACTGTATGATTGTTTTATCTTAGTTTTAGACTCTACATCAGTACGCACCTACCAGAATTCATACCCATGAACTTTCGGTTGCAGAGCAGGCTCTCAGATCATTTGGCCACTGGGGTCAAATCTTATGACTCATAAATTCCAACGTCTCTCTGGAATTAGTGACCAGAGAGGTCCATCAAGTCAGGAGTGACAATAGCTACTAACCGATAAAAGTGGCTGCTTGTTGCACCGTATATATCACGAACTGACAGAAAGTGGAATTAATGTTCCATTGTATTTCTTATCAGTGACTTAATGGTATACGAGGCTGTTTTGTAACAGGAAAATCTTGAGTTAGGATACTGATGGGCCTGTGCTGTTGAGGAAACCGAAACTGCCGTCCAGTGCAACCTGGTTCTGCACTTTTGGTGGACAGTAGGTTATTAACTATTTTGTTGCCACTGTGTATTTGCCTATCGTGTACTTGGATTCCTTATCGAGGCATTATCCCTCGCATAGTTTATCAGCAATCACTTAGTCCAGAAGTGAGGGAGAGTTGAGTGTTACAGCCAAACGCATCGCTAATGAAACTCGTAAGCACATAAAAAAGATGACTGAAACATACTGCTGAATACTTTCACGACTAAATGCATCGTAGAGTGTCACTTTCCATCCAGAAAA